AGATTATGACAATAAAGTTACTCGCTGAATAAATTCATTTAGCGAATATAAAAGACTGAAAGCAAATGAGGTGATGATACTTTATTTGGATTTTAGGTATTTACAAATTTATTAGCAACATAAAATGTGGATATCAACTGATTTCGAGAAAGGAGAGTCACCTTAAAGCTTGAATTTATGAATGAGTAAAACGATTGCCAGTATTAGGCATACTTAAAACGCACGAGTTTATGTTACACTTAGTAACGAGATTAATCTTCAGCAAATATCATGTGCCAAGCCCCACATGCTTCCACATTCACTATGCATACACATATCTAATTTCGTATTCCATAGTTTAACAGGAGGAAATCGTCGCTTATTTTCTGCAAAAATTAATTATCGCATTACCTCGAAACAAATCTCAAGTACTGGTCTAAACGTTAATATAAAAATGTTTATATAAAATATGGAATGGAATCAAAGACTGAAGGGAAAAAATAAAACAAGGAAAGGTGGATTATAGGATGAATAAAGAGCAACATAATTCTCACTTGATGTCATCAGATTAGCCAGACTCAGTTGGTAACCAGCACAAACTGACTTGAGTAGGCCCGTAGAGGCGAGGCTCGCGGCAATCCTGCTAGAAATTGATCCTGATCCCCTCGAAGACGCGGTTTGTCCGGCCAGCCAGCCAATACTACCACCACCCCCACCTGAAGCAATACTGACACTACTCAAGCCACCCTCAGTAGCCCCTCGCATCCATCCACCCGCCCCACTAGTGAACGGAGCGCCTCCGTGACCGAAAGTCATTCCTCTTCCGCTTCTGACACTCTGACCTGGACCACTGCCCCCACTTCCAGCACCACCCCTGCCTCCTCCAAGCAGACCTAGTCCGGAGGTGACATTGGGAAGAAGGCAATTGCCAGCAATGCCTGAGGAAGCGAGTGCCGACTGCAGAGCCGCATCAGCCACCTCGGGCTTGTAAACTAGCCGAACGACCAGCTCACCAGTCAAATCTAGTAGTAGATGCGCTAAGTGTCTGACGTGTGTATAGAAATGAAGGCGATAAGTTCCATTCATTTAGGCCTTTCCATCCTTCAACCCTTTATCAATAACTTTATATATATAATAAAGCACAATTAGAAAATCGTAAAAATCTCTGAAATCTTGCCCCAAAGAGCACAGCTAAATTTCAATAGTAAAAGGTATATTTGAGGGTAAAACAAAGGTCGCATGTGGCTTAGATAATAATAGTTGATAATTTACACATACTCTATTGAATAGTTTATCATTAAAATATTGATTAAATCTTGTAAAAAGCATTTGCAAGAAGTCCAGATTCAAGCATAAGAACATACTCGCATGGAAAAGTAAGTGATAGCATAAATTGCAAATTC